AAAGAATCTCAGTTTCTTTTTGTGACATATAGAGTGAATAAACCGAGGGGATGTAATATTCTAGATACCAAATACTAATCGTTTGAAATATTGTATGAATTACTTAGAGGGATGTAATATTTTAAAGGTAACATAGAGGGTATGTGATATTTTAAGTAAGAATTTCAGTTTCTTTTTGTGGTACATACAGAATTTACAAGTGATGAATCTTATTTTTTAAACACTAAATACTAACCGTTTGAAATGTTGAATGAATTACTTAGGGGGATGTAATATTTTAGAGATAAACATGGGTGTGTGTGTGTGTGTGTGTGTGTGTGTGTGTGTGTGTGTGTGTGTGTGTGTGTGTGTGTGTGTGATATTTTAAGTTAGAATTAAAGTTTCTTTTTGTGACATATACAGTGAATTAACCGAGGAGATGTGATATTCTAGATGCCAATTACTAATTGTTTGAAATATTGTATGAATTACTTAGGGGGATATAATATTTTAAAAGTAAATATAGAGGGTATGTGATATTTTAAGTAAGAATTTAAGTTTCTTTTTGTGGAATACAGAAGTTACAAGTGATGAATCTTATATTTTAAACACTAAATACTAACCGTTTGAAATGTTGTATGAATTACTTAGGGGGATGTAATATTTTAGAAGAAGTCATAGGGGGGGAAGTGATATTTTAAATAAGAACTTCAGTTTCTTTTTGTGGTACATACAGAACTTACAAGTGCCATCACTTGTGATATAGGTACCAAAATAGCAATCGTTTGAAATATTGTATGAATTACTAGGGGGATGTAATATTTTAGAAGTATACATAGGAGGGATGTGATATTTTAAGTAAGAACTTCAGTTTCTTTTTGTGGTACATACAGAAGTTACAAGTAATGGATGTGATATTCTAGGTACCAAATACTAATAGTTTAAAATATTTTGTCTTTTTGTGACATATACAGAGAATAAACCGAGGAGATGTGATATTCTAGATACCAAATACTAATAGTTTGAAATAATGTATGAATTACTAAGGGGGATGTAATATTCAAAAGATAAATACAGAGGGGATGTGATATTATAAGAATTTAAGTTTCTTTTTGTGGTACATACAGAACTTACAAATGAAATATTGTAATATTGTAAAGAAGTACTTTGGGAGATGTAATATTTTAGAAGTATACATAGTGGGGATGTGATATTTTAAGAAAGTTTCTTTATGTTATTTATACAGAAATTACAAGTGATGGATGTTATAGTATAGTTACCAAATACTAATTGTTTGAATTATTTTATGAATTACTTATGGGGATGTAATATTTTAGACGCCTGAATAGGGTGGATGTGTAATTTAAGTAAGAATTTCAGTTTCTTTTTGTGACATATATAGAGAATAAATAGGGGGAATGTGATATTCTAGGTATCAAATACTAATCATTGATTAGTATTTGATACCTAATGAAATATTGTAAAAAATTACTTAGGGGGATGTAATATTTTTATTTAATATTACTTTATGTATATGTAATTTTACTTTATATTTTATGTATATGTAATATGTATATGTAATATTATATGTATATGTAATATTACTTTATATTTATGTATATGTAATATTACTTTATATTTATGTATATGTAATATTACTTTAGCATGTTTTTACAACAAATTATTAAAAAAGGTACCGTTGAAAAAAAGCAAAATTTTATAATTGGAGATTTAAACATGAATTGTTTTCTTTATAATGATAACCTTAAAGTTAAAAATTTTTATGATGAAATTTTTGAAACGGGTTCAATATCTTTAATAAACAAACCTACAAGAGTAACAATAAATTCAGCAACTCTAATAGATAATATAATAACTTCAGATATTTTCAACAATGATTTAAAAGTAGGTATTTTGCGTACCGATATATCAGATCATTTCCCTATATTCCTAAAATTAGATAATACAAACTCTGAAAAAACTTTAACCGCACAAAGATTAATTCGAAAACCCATTTATAATGAGGCTAACCTTAATTTATTCAAAAATCAAATTTCATTACTGCATTATCATTATTTTAATGATAATGCTAACAATATCTACGAGTCTTTTTTCAAAACATTCTTTTCTGTATACGATGCTAATTTCCCAATCATTGAAAATAAAATAACTACTAAGAGCTGCAATACACCCTGGATCACTAAGGGCTTTAAAAAATCGTCCAAAATTAAACAAAAATTATATATAAATTTTTTGAAAACAAAAACACCTAAAAACGAAAAAATTTACAAGGACTACAAAAATCTATTTGAAAAAATTCGCAAAAATCTAAAAAAAAATTTTTTCTGCTACAAATGGTTAGAGTCGATAACAAAAGTTTATACGAACCAAGAACTATAGCTCAAGAATTTAACAAATTTTTTATCGATATAGGTCCAACACTTTCTAAAAAAATCCCAAAGACCAAATCTTTATTTACTGATTTTCTAGTACCCATTGATAATTGCATTGGTTCAGTTGAGTTGTCTTCTGAATTATTGCTTGAAGAGTTTGAAAGAGCCTTCAAATCTTTAAAAAAAATAAAGCAATTGGAGCAGATCAAATAAATGGAAACGTTATTATAGATTATTTTCAACAGCTAAAAGTTGTTCTTTTTAAAGTTTTTAAAGCTTCTATCCATCAAGGTGTTTTCCCCGAACTGTTAAAAATTGCTAAAATTATTCCTATTTTTAAACAAAGGGACAAATCAATTATTAGTAACTATCGCCCTATTTCTGTTCTTTCCACATTTTCAAAAATTTTAGAAAGAATTATATATAACAGAGTATACAAATATTTTCATGTTAATAAATTATTTAACATTAATCAATTCGGTTTTAAAAAGGATAGCTCAACTGAACATGCAATTATCAAATTTGTACGTGAAATCTCAAAATCATTTGAAAAATCGCAATATACTCTAGGACTTTTTATTGATCTATCAAAAGCTTTTGATACGGTTGATCACCAAATTCTAATCTATAAACTTAAACACTATGGAATAAAAAATAAAGTTTTAAAATGGTTTGAAAGCTATTTGTCAAATCGTAAACAATTTGTTTCGAGTAATGACGGTTATCATACCAATTGTCTTTCTATAACACGTGGAGTCCCACAAAGCTCCATTCTTGGTCCACTCCTTTTCCTAATTTATATTAATGATTTAAATAAAGCCTCTAAACTAACAAGTATTATGTTGCAGATGATACTAGCTTATTTCTTTCTAACAGTGATATCTTTGAACTTTTTAAAACAATGAACAAAGAGCTTATACATGTATCGAGTTGGTTTAAATGTAATAAGTTAACTCTAAATTCTAATAAAACAAAGTGGACCTTATTCCATTCGCTTTCCAAAAAACGGTATTTGCCATTAAACTTACCTAAAATTTTTATTGATCAAAATGAAATAAAAAGGGATTCCGTAACAAAATTTTTAGGTGTTTATCTTGATGAAAACATCACTTGGAATCATCATATCGACTACATAAGCACTAAAATTTCAAAAAAACATAGGAGTTTTATATAAAGCACGAATATACCTCAATAAGAAAATTTTAATCAAACTTTATTATTCATTTATACACAGTTATTTAAATTATGCTAATATCGCCTGGGGTAGTACAGAAAAAAGTAAGTTACAACGTATTCATCGCCGTCAGAAACATGCTATCCGTTTAATCTGCTTTGCAAATCGCTTTTCTCACGCAAAACATTATTTTATTGAAATGAGAATTTTAAATATATACGAGCTAAATATATATTATTGTTTTATGCTTTGTATACATGTGGAAAAATGACTTGTCTCGATCTGTCTTCAAAGATATTTTTACTCCGAAACCCACCAACAAATACAATTTGAGAAATACTGACTATTTAAATAAACCTTTCTGTCAAACGAACTTTAATCAATTTTGTATTGCCTATCGGGCACCACACCTTTGGAATAAAATTGTTTTGCCCAATTTTGACTTCGAACTACCCATTATTTTTCGTTTTTTTAAAAGTAAATTAAAAACCCTAATTTTTTCATTAGAAGACGTATTATGTTATTATCAATAATATAAATTAATAACTTTGCCTTTTCTTATTTATATTTGTAAAAAGTTTATTCTTACTTTTTTTATTGATTTTATATTCTTTACTTAACGTATACATTTATATAAAATATTGGTGAGTAGATCTGCGTGATCTCTCTTTGGATTATATAATATATATTTGGATTACATATATATGAAATTAGTAAAAATTTGATACTGTTAATACTTGTTTGAACTTATTTAAGGTTCTGACGATAAGATCCTTTGATCTTCTTTCAGACCTTATTTTATATTTGTGAAAGTTTATTATTATTATCGAAAAAAAAAAAAAAAAAATTTAAAAGTATACATAGGGGGGATGTGATATGTTATGTAAAAATTTTAGTTTCTTTATGTGATACACACAGAATTTACAAGTGAGGAATCTGATATTTAAAACACAAAACACTAATCGTTTGAAATACTGTAAAGAATTTCTTAGTGGGATGTAATATTTTAGACGCCTGCATAGGGTTGATGTGTAATTTAAGTAAGATATGCCCAAGCGAAAATTCACAACAGGCGCAGTACTGTCTAATACTGGCAGCCAGTACTGGCATTTATCTGGGATGATAACGCTTCGCCCGTACTGGATGTCCAGTACTTAACCATTGCTGGCATCTGGTAATGGCATATTACTGCCTAATCAAAAATTCACAACAGGCGCAGTACTGTGCCAGTAAGAACTATAGTTCTTAACCAATGTTAGCAGCTGATATTAAAATAGTACTTTCTTGAAAAATTGAGCGCTGTCGCGCTCTATTAGCATCATATCTATCAGCTCACTATCAGGTTTTGGCGTTGTCGCGCCAAACCTGTTATCAGAGTCTGAAAATCATAATACACAAACTCACAGACACACACACACAAAATGACACTATAGTATAAACTTTAAAAGACAATCTTTTATTAAAAAAATTATATTATTTATACTTTTTAAGTAATTTTTTTTTTTATTATTACAAATAGATAAAATTATAGAATTTCGTCTTCATTTTCGATATCCTTTCGCTCTTCACGACTTTTTTTATTTTAATAATCGGTATCTCTTTCCACCATCTCTATCCTTTGCACCTGAAAACCAGCGACTTATTTTACTTGAAATTTCTTTTTCATTTATGTCAGGAAATTTCATTGTAACTACTTCTAAAATAAAGATCTAAACTGTGTATTTAGGGGTTTAGTAAGAAATTACATACTACATATAAATTATGTAATATGTAGATTAATCTACATATTACATAAGTAATTACATATTACATATGTAATTACATATGTATTTTAATTACATACATATGTAATTACATATTAAATATAAAAGAGATTACATATAAATAATATTTTATTCGTGTTTGCTAAAGTTAAAAATAAGACAATATACCTAGCAAATATTTGTAAGTTTCTGTACCAGAGAAATTTAACTTTTTTACACCGTTTGATTCTCGCCCAAAAGCACTGAATAGCACTTGAATACTTGGTAAAATAATCTTAGGAATTATAAAAGAAAAACTTTCCGAAAGTTTTAATGTACTTTTCACATTTAATATGATAAAGCATTTCTAAAAGAAAGAAAATTTTAATCTATATATAAAATTTATATACAAAATAATTAAATATAATATTAATTATAACAAAAATAATTTTTAATAATACAATATTTCGTAGCAGACTTAACACTAGCATTTTTTGAATCAGTATTAAACTATTTACCAGTTTTTGCATCATTACTAAATCAGTCTTCAATTTATTATCAAAATCAAGGAAGCTTTCTGCATGGTTAAATGGTAATTCGTTAATTGTCTGTTCGGTCATTATTTTTTGAATATCAACTGTGTAATTGTGAAGACTAAACAACGTTCTTGTGATTTTCGCTTCCTCTCTAATACGATATTCGATACTTCTCCTAGCAGATTCCAGATTAGCTTTCGATGCATGACCTTTAGCTTTAGTCATGAAAATATAAATTTTCTTATTAGTAAAGAAAAACCACCATTCATTTTAAATGAATAAATCGTTAATTATTATTACATTATTAATGTCATTTTTTTTAATGTTATAAATGAATAAATGTTATAATAAATTCCATTTTGACACTGGTGTGGTTTAAACATAAAGCTTCCATAATGTCATTTTCTTAATAAAGTGAAAAGTTAAATTAATTATTTACAATGAATTAAGAATTATAGGTAAAAACATTTCTGACAATATCCTTACCTGCACAGCCACATGTAGGACAATACTTATAATTTGGATTTAGTATCACATCTAAAAAAATATTGTCAGAATTTTACTGAGAAAGCAATGATCAAAATTCTGGAAATGATTTCATTAAAAAATATTAAAATAACATTTACATGTAAGAAAGAAAACTAAGAAACATATTGCATTACCTTTTTTATTCATTTTATCTTCGTTTATACTTTTCATAGAGTTTTCATGTGATATACTGGAGTTCTTTATCATTTCTGAAAATAATAAATTTTTTGAATAATAAAAATTCCTTTAACACATTTTTTTTTTGTGTTTAACATTAGGAGTTATTTTTAATTATGATTTTTTTTTTGATTAAAGAAAGCATATGGTTTAGTTTCACTGGTTTACATTTAGAGATCAATATTTTCTTTATTTTCGGAGATGAGGACAAGGAATCATTAGATTCTTCATCACGACACGACGATCGCTTTTTTTTTACTTTAAAGGAAACAAAAGACTCTTTTGAAATATCACTATCTCTACTGCTTTCAATACTAAGATCTAAAACACACAAGATATAGATATCTAGAAATGATTTCATTAAAAAATATTAAAATAGGATTTATATGTTAACTAAAAAATATATTGCATTACCTTTTTTATTTATTTTATCTTCGTCTAAATTTTTCCTGAAGTTTTCATGTGATATACTGGAATTCTTTATCATTTCTGAAAATAATAAACTTTTTGAATAATAAAAATTTCTTCAACACATTTTTTTGTGGTTTAACAATAAGGGTTATTTTTAATTATGATTTTTTTTTTTTGATTAAAGAAAGCATACGGTTTAGTTTCACTGGTTTACATTTAGAGATCAATATTTTCTTTATTTCCCGAGATGAGGACAAGGAATCATTAGATTCTTCATCACGACACAACGATTGCTTTTTCTTTACTTCAAAGGAAACAAAAGACTCTTTTGAAATATCACTATCTCCACTGCTTTCAATACTAAGATCTAAAACACACAAGATATAGATATCTAGAAATGATTTCATTAAAAAATATTAAAATAGGATTTATATGTAAACTAAAAAATATATTGCATTACCTTTTTTACTTATTTTATCTTCGTCTAAATTTTTCCTGAAGTTTTCATGTGATACACTGGAACTCTTTATCATTTCTAAAAATAATAAACTCATTGAATAATTAAAATTACTTTAACACAATAATGGTTATTTTTTAATTATAATGATTTTTTTTTTCGATTAAAGAAAACATACAGTTTTGTTTTGCTGGGTTACATTTAGAGGTCAATATTTTCTTTATTTTAGGAGATGAGGACGAAGAATCATTAGATTGTTCATCACGGCATGACAATCTCCTTTTCTTTACTTTAAAAGAAACAATGGATTCATTATGCTCTAAAACAGATCAGATATAGATATCATTAAAAAAGCCAGCAAAACAGTAATAAGGTTAAATAAATCTTTTGATTTTTTATGTTTTAATTTTTTTTTTGAAAAAAAATAACTTATATAAACTTAAAGTCATACCTTTAAATGAAGAGATATCTTTTAAAGATGCTTTAATCTTAGAGCTGCTTAATTTAACAGGAGCAGATTCTTCTTCTGAACTGTTCAAATCTTCAAAATTACTGCTCTGAACTACAAACTCAGAACATGCACTAATCATGCATCGCAATCCTTGTTCATAGCTTTCTATAATGTAAATAAATAACTTTATATATGACAATATTAAAGTTATAATGCATTTAAAATTGATTACATAAAGAGTTTCATTACATACTTTTTAATTAAAATAATTTCAAAACCTTTCCACAAAACTCCTGGTATAAATCACATTTTACTCATATTTTCTAGTACATGATACTCGTTTTCAGATGGGTATTTACAGAATAACTTGTCTCTGTATGTTATTTAAAATTTTATAAATTATAAAACAAATTTTGCTATTATCACTTTTCTTTAATTTACTGTTACTAAAGCTTTAGTAACAGTAAATTAAAGAAAAGTGATAATAGCAAAATTTGTTTTATAATTTATGAAATTTTAACAACATACGGACTGATAATCAAAATTTACCAAGACAAAGATGAAAAAACCCAGTAATATAGACCTGTTTTTAACAGAACATTTAACAATAGTTTTTAATAAGAATTTTGCATTTTTAAAGTGAATGGTAAAGGTGAATTATCGTAAAAGAAACATGTGCTTGAATTCTGGCACATTCTTTTCGCGAGGCTCGGAAATCTGTATTGTGCCAACGCTGGATTAAGGTGCTATTTTTCAGCATTTTAATCAGTACTTCGCCAGCACTGGCAGGCCAACTATTGGTAAGCCAATACTGCCGCAGTGCTTTGCCTGTTGTAAGAAATGGCGCAATGCAAAAATTTCCGGTTGGGTGTATCTCAAATATTGATAGCTGTTTTTTGTTTCTTGGGTCCTCCTCTGATGGGGAGATCTTTATAATAAATTTATATATTTAATTAAAAAATTAAAAAAAAATAATTAAAGAGCTTCTAATAAAATCAAGAAACTTTAATATTTATAGTGTTTTTTAGCTTTTTAAAGTTTTAATTTAATATTTTATTTTTTTTAGATACGATTGAGCTAACAATTTAAACATGTGACATTGTTCAACGAAGTCATGTATAAAACTTTGGTGGAATTAAAGTTTTCATAAGATTTAAAATGAACGAAATTAATTACAATAATTTTTTATTCTAAATGTTTTCATATCTTACAACATAAATATTTTACTAGTTTTAATGAACAAAACGTTTTGAAGGAAAATAAATAATTACAGTTTGTCTTTTTTCATTCTATTGCATAATTTAAAATTTTTCTCCATTACGTCCACCTATGGTGGCTAAGGCGTAAGGTTTCGGGAAGGTTATAACTTCTTCAGATACTTTTTTTGAATAATAGAAGCTTCTTCTTTTCTTAATAAAGGAACATTTTTAAAGAACTATTTTTAAATATTAACGTTTCTTTAGGTGGTTTGGTATGGAAATATAATGTGATTATTGAGCCTGTTGAGGCGAGTTAATAATATTTAGTCCAGTTCACAATTATTAAAATTATAAAAATTTTTAAAAGTGGCACTTAAAAAATTAACTTTTATTTATTGCAATAAACTATAAAATCATGTATTTCATGTAGAATCATCCAATATCATACTGAACTGAAATGATAAAGAATAATGTACTGTAAAAGACAAAGTACATAAACAGTTTGTTGTGTATATATATATATATATATATATATATATATATATATATATATATATATATATATATATATATATACAACAAACTGTTAACAAATTCCATCAAATGTTAACACAACATTTTTGTAAAAATAAAAACATTGAAAAAAAATACTATTGAGCAAGTATTATTCTTCCACACTAAGAATATTCTGCTTTTGTTATGTCTTCCTATTTTCTTAATGACACAAATGCTAAAGTGCAGGATTGTTCGAAGAAGATTTCACTAAGAAATAATAATCATCCTTATAATGACAGATTTATAGCGTTGAATTCAACAAGTTTGAAAAAAAGACGAGAGCGTGGTGGCTTAATTTAAATGATTGAATTAGGTAACAAAATTGACTATATTAATTGTTATAATAAAGATTGATTAAATTTTCATTCAACGAGTCCAGTACCAACGCGTAGCCATAAAAAACATAACAAAAAAATCTGCACAGAAATTGTCCTTATTTATAATTTTTTTTTTTTTTTTAATTTTTTATTTAGGTACCCTAAGAAGTCCTAACGGTCTTGTCACAGAGCACCGCGGAAGTGCATTTAACCAGAAAGTCCTTACCATGACGCGAAATATGTCCAAAGCTCGTTTTGAACCTGGATCTCCTGCTTAAAAAGCATACGATCTAACCACTGCGTCACGGCCGCACAATATTTGGCATAACTTTTTTGTGAATCAAGAAGCTCGTTTTGATCAGTTTAGAAAATTAAAAGGTTTAAATAAAGATAAGCGCTAGAAAAAGAATGAGCTAAAACAAAGTGGAGTTACATTATATTTTTAAATATATTAGTTAAGGTTGAGAGTTTATGTTCACTTATTTTAGTTTAAAAGACATCTTTGTCAGACTTGTCTCAGAAACCCATAGCCATTCAAAGGCGTCTAAATTTTATTACGCATAATACAGGTCTTTAAACGTCTTTAAATAACGCTGAGAAGAGAAATGTTTTTTTTTAATATTGTTACCCTGTTACTATTTACTGGTTACTCTGTTACTAGTTACTGGTATACCTGTTACTTTAATAAAGTTTTCATTCTATTTATAAAATATTTTATTATTTCTTCAAACCTAATATTTGTTTAACTTTCTACGGGTAATTCTAATATGAAAACAATTATTATTGTTTTTTGATTTATACTCGGCTAAAATATTCGTTTTCTTATTTTAATTTATAGTTAAAACATATATTTTTTCATTATTTTATCTTATGGCTTATTTTCAAAAGAAGGCAGAGACACCAAAAAAAAGCTTTGAAGTTAATGATAGTGAAGGTATGAATTAAAAACTTAATAAAAATCTTTCCAGCTAAAGACAGTGAAGGTATATAATAATAAATCACTTTTACATTTTTTTAGCGTTACCATTTTATTGTAATAAAGATTTTTATGTAAACCTATTTAAATAATCAATTTAAACATTATCCCACCTGGTGAAAAAATGTGTAGAGTTTTAAAACATCTTCAATAAATGTAATAGTCGTTATTTTATTAGATGAAAGGTTTATGCTTAAATTTTGATGAAATTATGCTTAAATTGCATTTCATAAATAGGTTACGGAATAATAAAATGTATCCATATTAAAAACCCTGTAAAAGTCATTATGGGTATATATCCAGATTTAGGTGGCTGCAAGGTAAACGATTATTCGTTACAAGACACTTTAAACGAATGTCTCAGTGACGAAGTTGTTAATATTTATCTCAAAATATTAGTAAACAGTAAAGAAAAAGTATGATTAATTAATGTACTTTATAATAAAATTTTTGTACAAAAAAACAATATTGCATTTTTTTTTTTAAATTTGTCTTCATTTAAATAAAATTTTAATTCTAAATATAAAACAATATATTGAATGCCATTCCATTTGTTTATACTACTTTTAAAATAATATATATATATATATATATATATATATATATATATATATATATATATATATATATATATATATATATATTTTAAAACATCAAGAAATACAGTTTCTCTCATTAATAAGAATTTTATTTTGTAAGAAATTTTCGCTGGGTTATGGATACCAGCATCATCAGCTTGTAAAATATTACAATAATTTTTTAATCGTTATAGTTTATATAAAATTGATAAAATAGATATTTATGTAAAGGCGAAACCTTTTGATAGTTATATAAACTCTCCAATAAAAAATAAAAGAGTAATAGGTATAATTTATCGTTTTAGATTTGAACTCTTAATTTGCATAAAAACGGTTCAAAGAAACAATTCTTTATTCTTATGAATGATGTTAAAAAACTCCAAAACTTTCTTAAAGGTAAACGTAATGAAGAAGATTATATTAAATTAGAACAAATTACTGAAAAAGTAAGGGAAAGCATGTTTATTAAATCAAAAGAACGATTAATAAAAAAGTTTAACACACTTCAAAGTGAACATGCAAATGAAAAAGATATTGCGAGAAAAACAACAAAATATAAAAAGGACGCAGTTTTAAACCTTTGCGATACCAATATTTCCATAAGTCACAATGATTTTCTAAACCTTAGTCCAAATTTTGTACCATCTCTAAAGTCGATACCATACATGGATATTATAACAACAACAGAGTCTTCAGCGTTAAAATTAAAATACAACAACAAAGTAGAAAACGCACAAGATTTAAGGAAAAATGTTTAAAGAATATTAAAAACAGAGAAAAAAATAAATAACAATCTGACAAAAGAACAGAGGATATCTTTTAGAGAAATAAAAAACGATAAAACCATTGCTATATACCCGTTTGACAAAGGAACAGGTTTTGTAAGAATTGAACATTCTAAAGCTTTGGAAAAAATCCGTGAACAAATTGGTCCGACAAAAATTATTAGTGAAGACCCTACTGCCAGTTACGCGGCAAAAATTAGAAGATTTCTTTCAAAACTAAATAAAAAACAGCGTTTTTCTAAAGAGGAATACGAAAAAATATATCCAAGTGATCCTATTCCACCTCGATTGTATGGAATAATAAAAGCTCATAAACCAAAAAAGTCGTACCCTATGAGAATAATTATTCCTACCATTAGCACACCAAACCACGGAATATCAGAGTTCTTAGTTAAAACAATACAGCCAGTCTTAAATGAAAATCCGACACGATTAAAAAACTCTTTTGACTTTATAAAAAAAGCAGAAAATTGGAATGTCGCTAACAATGATATTCAAGTGTCTTACGATGTTGTAAATCTGTACCCCTCAATTCCGTTAAAAGAAGCCACCGTTATACTTTTAGAACAATTAAATAACAGTTTATCATATAAAAACCTAACAAAACTAAGTATACCTGAAATAAAACAACTCATAAAACTTTGCTTATATCAATGTTACTTTCATTGGAACAATGAGATTCATAATGGAAAACTCAGGACCAATCGGACTTTCTTTCATGGTTGTTCTCGCGGAGTCTTTTCTACAATTCCATGAAAATAATGCAATTAAAATGGCTTTGACAATGAATCCTGCACTTAATCTTAAATCATTTTTAAGATACGTTGACGACATTCATGCAAGATTTCCTAACATCGAAGAAGCAAAACAGTTCCAAGATATTTTAAATCAACAATATCCTGCAATACAATACACAATTGAAGTTGAAAACGAGACAAAAACACTTAACTTTCTTGATATAACCATTACAAATAACACACTAGGAAAATATGAGTACAAAGTATATCGAAAAGAGGCAAT